GAATAGGGTAGTCACATGGTCAATACAAAAAGTTGGGATCCATAGTGGGAGTTTAGGGACAGACTTGAAGGTTGTCTCCATGTGCCGCGCGCATGTCTCAACAACTAGGTAGTTTCTTGATTTTCAGTCGTCCGTGGCTTAGTAAAGAGATATTAATTTAACTTGTATTTTGAATTCGAATTATACTAGCAGTTGAGCGATGTCAACTGCATAGGATAGAATATGTGTGTGGCTTGTGATAAAGTGTTGTGACCCAGGTAGACTTGTGACAAGTCAAATTAGGTTTTGTAGTCTGAGTTTTATGAAACTGAGTTTTGTGTGCTTCTTTGTGGCACGGGTTTAATACAAAATTGACAAGGGATTCTTTTATGTGCCTTGTGTTGTGATTTTGCATCTAATAGATAATTTGAGTGTTGAACTACATTGAAGGAAAAAGAAGAGGGTTAAGTATTAGATGCATGACTATTGTGTGCATTGAAATAAAAAGTAGTTGATCCTATAACATTTGTCATCATGACCTCAATTTTCAGATCATGACAATATCAACTCTAAATTGGAAGGTTGAGGGGTATATCATATCCATATCCCTTCATATCATTGTATACGGACTGAAATAGTACCTAATGATAATGTCGTAAAATGTGTTAAGCAAAAACATTTCATATGTGATGGTTATGTAATTAGTGATAGTACTGAAATTAAACTTTTATGTTAGATTAACAAATTAATTTTTCACTACCAAGATCACTTAGAAGATAGCCATATTAAGTACTCCTATAACTAATTACCTTAAAATAAAGAAAGCATTCTACTATAATAGGTTAAATATATTACACTTCCATAAAAAATCACCTAAGTTAAATCCTACAATAAATAAATGTTACAATGCTACCTGATAATACAAATTCTTTAGACAATAATTTAATTCTTCATGGTAATATATATTGCATAAGCATGCATGTGAAATTAAACTTTGAAAATTGAGTTAAATGTTCATCACACACAGATTCTGTAGGTTGTCAAGAAAAGATATATCAAACAAAAGGGGAAAGAGAAACACTTTAAATAAAAATAGCCAATGAACTATACATTGGTGTAGAGCAAACTACTTCTAATAACTTCTGGTAGAAATTGGTACACTTCAATCCAATATTTTGTAAGCTTGGATTTGATTGTGTTATAGCTTTATAATACAGATTTGATAATCAATTAATCTATTTTAAAGGAAAATTACACAGAACATTAGACAAAACTCACAAATTTCACCTTCAATTCTTCCTTAATTTGTCTCTGGGGATTTTCAATTATCGTTTCAGATAGACTCGTAGATTATATGCTACATCCGTCAGTAGGTGCTGTTGCTCATTTCTAGCATTTGTACATTTTAAAATATGCTATATATCTATATCCGAGATCTTATTCATTAGTTCTTGTCTGTGAAATTTCATGTTGTAGATTAGAGCCTTGATATATTTAATAAAATTATCCGGTATAGGATATGAAATTACACTGCATGATTGAAGTAGCAACAATACATAGACTTCAAGATTGTCAAATCATGATCATAATGGAACTCATCTTCTTCTTTCAATTCTTTGTTTAAGTTTGGAAAATTTAAATTAAACACAATAATGGGCTTCAATTCATATAATTTATACATGGAACTCTCTTTTTACTTCAATGCATAAGTTGCTTTCAGATCAAATGTCTATTATTTTAGTATCATGCATTCAATATTTATGAGCTATTCACTTATCAGTATTATCAGACTATCAGTTTATTTCAATTTATTAGTTACATTAAGCTGAGGGAGTTACTTAGCACGAAGTTGATTTTAGGGATGAAGGGTCACGACCAGCATCTGCCGACTCCTTTAGTAGGAATTTTTAAGTCCTAGAACAATGTGACACTATAAGTCAGTGTAGCCCTTGCAGGCACATATTTTAGCTTAATGGTACCACGTCAGATCAACCTCTATACCCTAGCAAGTATATTAGGTTCTTTTCGATAGGGATTATGCATCGAACTCCATATCTAGCTCACATAGTTATATTTTGACTTTTAGTATCTCCCACAATCTAGTCTAGTCTTTGAGATATTGCATGATCATGTATTCAATTTATTTCCGTTTAGTATTTTTCAGTTGCATGTTACTTGATCATTTGATCAGTTCATGTATTTACAACTCAACATCTCAGACTTATCATGTTCGTATATTAGTTTTATCATGCAAGTCTCGCATACACAGTACATTCAAAGTACTGACTGCATACTCTCTGTGCTATATTATTTTATAGTATTGGTTCAAACGCTCAATATTCAGCTCGCAGTTAGTACAATCTCCAGTCAATATAACAGTAGTATTGGTGAGTCTTCACCCCTCATGGATGACCCTTACATTATTGTCTGTTATTATTATTTCAATTTTCAGAGAGTTAAATTTAGCTAGGGACTTGTCCTAACAACTCATCGTAGTAGAGACATTCAGATAGTTAGTCAGGTGTTACTTTTAATGCTTTGAGTTATGTTTGGATAAACTCATCATGATTATATAATTTAAATTGTTTAGACTCATTATACAGTTCAATTTAGCTTCTTCCTTATGTTATCTCCAGATGTTGCTTATGTCAATCTTAGTGTCATGTTAGATTATGGGTTAGCTTGGGGTCACTTGTGACTCTAAGAATCGTGTTACGATTAAGGGGTAGTCTCAGATCATGACACCTAGGCCTTACATTCTTCATTTGTCTTTTTACTTTCTTTCTTTTCATGAATTACTTCGGCACCAAAAATTAAGTTCTTCGAATTTAGCTTTTGTTTCAAAGACGTTTGTTTTTTCTTTTCTTTTTTTCATTAGAAAAGGATCAAAAATAACTTAAATAAAGACTTTATTTGTAAGCACAAAAAAGCAGATAAAATACACAAAAATAGTGAAACATAAATGCAGAAAAGAAGAAACTTTATTTTAAATCGAATTTAGCCATTGGGTTAGGTGTTATTTTTTATGAATAAATGCAAACAAACAAAAAAAGAAATCTGACCAGCCTAACCTCAAAACAAAAGAAAAAAGCATTTTCTAAACTCATTTCTCTATTGCCAATGGGCGTTGCCCTCTCTAAGTGAAGTTCTTCTATGATGGTTTCAAGTCAAAAATAAAAAATAAAAAAAGGCTAAAGTTATTCTTTTTAGCAGCTATCTAATATCGGTCAAGAATTTCCATTGGACAAACTTTCATTTTAAAAAAAACGGTTTGGTTTCTTGAACATTAACAAAATTGTTAATTTAGTATTTTTACCAATGATTATCACAAGATAGTGAAATTTTGAGGTGAGAAAAACTTTTAGATAAAATGTTCATACATTTGAGAGAAAAAGGTGAACAGACTATAAAACTTTGGTGTATGATCAAGATACAACACATACAAAATTTAGACTTTATATTCTCTCAAGTATAAAGCTTACTGAATTCATCAGACCTGCCAAGTGGATGGATGTTGTGAACAAAAGGTAAATATCGCGTACATAAACATTAAACTCTTAAAATACAAGGATAAAAGTGAACATTGAGGACACGAAATGACTGATTCAATCTTCTAAGGAATGACAAAGCGAAGTTAGATGTTTAAAATATACGGATAAATGTGAACATTGAGGACATGAAATGACTGATTCAAACATCCAAGGGTATGACAAAGCGAAGTTAGATGCTTAAAATAGAAGGACAAATCTAAACTTTTTCTCTTACACTTGAAAGAAAGTGAAAAACACAGGATCCTACCATGATTAAATTACAACCAAACATTACATATCAGTATGAAAAATATAAGTGTTTTCTTGTACACAAATAAATAACATATCAGTCTGAAAATCAACGAGGTGATTTCATGATTCATCATCAAGATTTAATTAGTCGGCCGCAATAAACTGCTCTTTAAAGAACTCCTCTTCCTGAAAATTCAACAGTAGAAAATGAAATTAATTTAATATTTTACTGATCTACCTGTTGGGTTTGAAAGAATCAGTGAGTCATGTGCAAGCTTACAATTGAAAATCATGAAGACGGTAAATCAAATGACAAACAAAACTATTCTAACAAACATAATATTATTATATAAATCGGCCAACTGACCTACATATTATAAGACTAATAAAAAACATAAAAATTGTAGATAGAAAAAATCTCCCGATAAATAAAATTTTTAAACAACTATATTGTATATTCTTTTGTGTTCTTGATATGAGAAGAGGCGTTTTCAATTTGTAGAGTTCCAAACTTTTCATCTAAGAAAAGAATAAACCAAATATAGAAGATAATTGTAATTTTTCTTTCAGGAAAAGTTCAAGCATTTATGTGAATAGTTTGACTTTTCTTTAAGCAAAAAATAAAACTTAATATAGGATAAGAAAATCAGGGCAAAATCTTAGCACTACCATGATTCATGAAAAGTAAAACTAGGCTAAGTTGGCAATCTACAACACATAGGAATGTTCTCAAGCATAGAAATACATTTTTATATTCAGTCAATATTAATTAAAGCAAAAGCTAATTTCATTGTCATGACAAACGACGAAGCTTTTCGTTTCATGTGTCAGTACACTTAAGTAGTTAATCAGTTTCTTCTTTGGAAAGGGTCGAAAATCCAGCATATTACATAGGTATAATATCTTTTAAAATTTACCATTCACGCACCTTGTTGTTACTACTAAAATTAAAGGAAAAATCAACGTTTGATTGACAGAACAATTAATTTAATGAAAATATAGAACAAAAGACAAAATAACGAAAAAGTAGTCTTCTTGGAAATATGCAAAAAGGAAAGATAAAAAAGATCTCCATGAAGAATTGGGGTAAAGTTCTCCCTTAAATATGCAATATTTTTTCTATTATTTGATAAATAGAGAAATATAACAGTCCTTAGCAAAATGCAAAAAAGTTTTAACACTTACAAATAACTACTTACACTATTGCAATCATCAGTGCTTCTGACGCCTTCAGTTTTGTTATGTCCTTGGTTCATTTTGTGAAAGGGGACAAACTAAGCTTTGAATGTAGAAGTCAGCCAAAACACCATAATTTAATTTACGAAGTTGTGAATATCTAATTGAGTTATCCTTTAGATGGTATATCATGTAAGCTGTTTTAAACATCAATAAGAATTCACCTTTTTTTGACATATAAAAGGATTGATAAAGTAAGCATTCCATAGGATGTAGGATGCTATAATTGATAGTAAACATCTTCATCCAAGATTGTTTATCCTCGTACTCCTTCATACTCCACACATCCATGTGATTTGTTGGATTATTACAAATCATAGATAAATTAGTTCCTAATACTCCCAGCACGAGAAATCCATCTCCACAGGGTCTCTCCACCTTTCTCCATTTCTCATCAGCCAAATCAAAATATGTTATGCCCCATACTCTTTCCAAACCAGATCCAACAATAGTTGCCCAGTGAAGCTTCCCGTTCACAAATTTACTCGAACTAATTAATTGCCCCATATTGCAATTCCAAGGACTCTCAATTATCTGCCAAGAATCATTCTTTAAACTGTACATGTTGACTTGTTGAAAGTTACCTTGACGTCCAAAAATAGTAAAAGTTCGCACTACCTTATAATCATTATGAATCTTATAATATCCAAAATCATATATGAAATGACTAGCATTCCTAAATTGATATCTAAAATTACGTAATTTCTTGTACTTTCTTATTGCTGGGTTCCATAGAAATATTTTGTCTACCTCATTAACAAGACAAAGCAATCCATTGACTGAACCCTCAATCAAAAAAGACATGCCCGAATTTTTCATGAGATAATCCAAGTTAGACTCCTCCATAACCCTATCGTTGATGTTTTTATTAAATGATAAACTCATATGAGACTTGACAAACTCTGGGCTAGAGATCAAAGCAAGCCAAGATTTTGAAACTGACCTAAATTTCAAAAGAGATTTCACTGGAAGCCTTGAGATGATTTCAGCAATAACTTCAGGTGGCAGAAAAAGTTTTGTAGGCCTGCTTCTTTTTGGGTGTTGATCAGATGCTTCATAAGATATTTGATTTTCTCCATTCAGTTCTTCTGTGGGTAGCATTTTACTCTTAATTTTTGTAAATGGTAGAGCCGATAAAGTAAAAGAGCAAAGCACAATTTTTTTTTAGTTGACTAGATTGAAGTGAGAATGAGGAGACAGCTCTTCCTATATTTATAATATTAGTTGAATTAGCTAGGGTACACGTGTCATCAAAAGTGTAGTGAGAATGAGAAGACCACTCTTCCTTGATTCATTGCACTAAAATCATTGTGTAATGTCTCACTAGAAGTATAGAGTAAATTAATGAGTTGCATTTTGCACCCAAAATGTGTGTTTTTGTTTGCACTTTGCATCCTATTCTTTTAGTGACTTGCACCTTAATTTGTATATTTCCTTTCAAATGTTGGAGCTGATAAAGAAATAAAGTAATTTATATTTATTAAAATACTAAATTATATCTCACTTCAGATTACTGGCCATAAAAATAATTCACATTTGGAAAGAAAGTTATATCTTATTACCATTTTCAAAATGGGATAATATTTTTCATTTACCGAAAGTACAAAATTGTATTTACACTATAGGATTATTCTTAAATGTGATTTTACTATGGGAGTAAGTCCAAGATGTAATTTAGTGGTTAATGAAGTTTGACTGAGATAGAGTGAGACCAAATGTTCAAGCAGACTAAAAATGCTATGTATTAATTTCCTCCACATCGGTGAAATTGATTATGGATATGATGTAATAACCATCATGGTTGTTTTATATTTTCATCCGATTTTTCTTATTTCGTCCTTTCTCATTGCTCCAACATGGTATTTGTGGGGGATTGGTTACATAGTCCCAGGTGGTTGAACAGGTTTCGGATGAGTTTTTCAATTTGGAATGTTAGAAAGTTGCAAAGTTGACCAAAGTCAACATTCTAGTAAGATGACTTGGACTGAAATTTTGACAATGTTGTAGGTTTGATAGGTGATTTTTGAGTTGATTGGACTATGGGTTCAACTCCCAAGGCATTCAGAGTTCAGATTAGATTCAGGTCATAGGTTAGGATCTTTAAAATTTAGAAGTTAAGAGTTGACCTCGGCCAATATGACCTCCATTTGGCATTTTGTCTGGAATACCATTTCTAGTCTTGTAGCATATTTGGTATGTCTTCACGGGCATCTGAATGAATCTTGATGGTCCATTCTAGAATATGTTACTTGATGATGCAAGTTGATTTTCTTCTTTGCAATCACCAAGGTATCACAGCATCCGCAAAAGGTTTTTCAAGAAGAGCATCACAATCATAGTGGAATGGTCGGGATTGTGTAAAATAAAAGGGTTCGGGTAAATTTCGTCCTTCGCAATCAGGTGGGCTCGCGATTGCAAAGAGTTTCTGGGTCAGGTTGTTGCGGTCACTATGAGGGGTCCCATGATTGCAAAAGGCAATTCACCTGGGCAAATTGAAATCTCATTTTTGACATAAAACCTATTACTTGATATTGGAAGCCTGGAATCATATTTTTGGGAGATTCAAAAGAGGATTTTCATCACTAGGTATGTTTCTTAACCATTATTTATTCCTTGCTAATTATCTATCCATTTTACCTTATATAAGTGTTTATATTGGGACTAGTTTTCGAACACGTGTGGTGCACGTGTATTCTATGCTAATTAGTACGATTTTTTTTAAATAATAGAGAAGGGAATGAAGAGGTTGATCGCAGATGCGAGAATTCAAAATAATGACCAAGCATAATAAGTCGCATAATATAAAAACAGTCTGAAGATTGAAAAAGCAAGCAATGAACAACAAAGAACAAAATTTATTAAGAGCAAAATAAAATTCTAAAAAACTAATATAAAAAGAATGTACCTTTGTTGCAGAAAGTGTTAAGAATACACCAAATATTGAGTATTTTCAAAAAGAAAGCATATAATAATTTGACAATGGACAAAAGGCTAAAACTATTGATTTTATAGAAGGTAAAAGAATATGAAAAGTTTTTTTAACGGATGGAAGCTAAAAAGAAGTAGAAAATAATATTAATTTTAGATGATAATGTGTGAGTTAAAGGCACAAGATTAATGAATATTATAAATATAGGTTTTGAAAATGAAGAGGTGTAGTGATGGAGTTGATTTTAAATGAAAAAGAAGAAGTAATTTTTAAAAATGATTTAAAAAAATTAAATTAGTAGATGAAGGATATTTTCGTAATTCAACTTTTGACTTAAATTGTTCCCACTTTTAAAAATATATGATATGGTATGATGATAAATGGAGATTTTTGGGCTAAAGTTATGAGATAAAATCTTGAGGTTTTGAACCTCGATAAGGCTTTGTTTTTTTTTTTTATGAAAGTTAATAGTGAGTTACTTATGGGTAAAATAATTTTCATAAAATCCTATGAAGATAGAAGTATAGAAATATGGGTGTCTAAGGACTTGTTTGCTTATGCAAATTATGTATTTCACTGAATTAGCCTCGTTTATATGCTTTGAGGAAAGATAAAACCATAATTTTACTTGTAGGGCTTTATTTAAGGCAAGTTGAAACTTTCTATTACTCTTGACATGGAGAATAGCGCCTTGAGAGAAACCCTAAAAAAGCCACTTGACATAAGCAGTACTAAGAATGAGATAAAGCAAGATATAAGTCTCAATCATATCATTGATACCAAAAGAGATCACAACTCATACGCGAAAAATGCATTATGTCTGACAATAAGCCTCTAATATTATCATGTGGCTAGGACAAACCCATAGCTCACGAAGTAAGTTTGAAACTAAAAAGATATGAAAGTAAAAGACTCCATGTGGTGGAATGCCCTCAGAACATGAGGACTCACCAAAATAACTAGATAGCGGAGCATTTGAACTAGACACGGGCATGAGGTGGAGTGACGAACCATGTTTTATAAAATAATATAGACACACAAAATTTGGTATGCGTCAGTACTTAAAATGTACTGAGTATGAGAAAATGCATAACAACGGACATAACATGCTAAGTATGGAAAACATGCTAATGCATGACCAAGTGTAAGAAGCCAAAACATGATACGTAAAATCATAAGATATAAGACATATGCATGGTCAATGCAAATCTTTATAAAACCCTTTGCATTGATTGAAACATAAACTTTTGAGGAAACGGAGCATAATCATTTATGGGATAGTTTACCGATAATCAACATAGACCATGTAAGCTATAACTTGGAATCCAATGTCTTATTCCCACACCGAAAAAGAGTTGATCCTATAACAGGTGCCATCATGATTTCAATTTTTGGATCGTGACGTTGTCAACTCTAAATTGCAGGGTTGAGGGGTATATCATACCCTTATCCCTTCATCTCTATGCGTACAGACTAAACTAGTACCCAATGATAATGTTGTAAAATGTGCTAAGAAAAAACACTTCATATATATGTGATGATTATATAACTAATGATAGTATTGAAAATATACTTTTGTATTAGATTCACTTCTACAGATCGTTGATATAAATTGATTTTTCACTATCAAGATCACTTAGAAGATAACCATATTAAGTATAACTAATTACCTTAAAATAAAAAAAGTATTCTACTATAATAGGTTAAATCTATTACACTTCCATAAAATATCACCTAAGTTAAATTTTACAATAAATAAATGTTACAATGTGACCTGATAATACAAATTCTTTAGACAGTAATTTAATTCTTCATGGTAATATATATTGCGTAAGCATGTGAAATAAAACTTGAAAATTGAGTTAAATGTTAATTATCACACAAAGATTCTATAGGTTGTCAAGAAAAGATATATACTCTTTGAACAAAAATAGCCAATGAACTAATTGGTGTAGAAAAACTACTTCTAATAACTTTTGGTAGAAATTGGTACACTTCAATCCAATGTTTTGTTAACTTGGATTTGATTGAGTTATAGCTTTATAATTCAGATTCGATAATCAATTAACCGATTTTAAAGGAAAATTACGTAGCACATTAGACAAAACTCACAAATTTCACCTTCAATTCTTCGTTAATTCATCTTTGGGGATTTTCAATTACAATTCAGATAGACTCGTAGATTATATGCTACATCCGTCACTAGGTGTTGTTGCTCATTACTAGTACTATGCATTTCTACATTTTAAAATATGCTAAATATCTATATCCGAGATCTTATTATTAGTGCTTGTCCATGAAATTTCATGTTGTAGATCAGAGCCTTGATATATTTAATTAAATTCTCCGATATAGGATATGAAATTACATTGCATGATTGAATACATAGACTTCAAGATTGCCAAATCATGTTCATAATCGAACTCATCGTCTTCTTTCAATTCCTTGTTCAAGATTGGAATATTTAAATTAAACACATTAATGGGCTTCAATTCATATTATTCTTACATATTCATGGCGTCGAGTATTTGCACTTTAGATCTCATGACTCGACCTGTAGACGGTGATACCGCCACCTTTGGCGACGTGATCCTTTCTTATTCACTTGTGTTGGTGGCGAAGAGGTCGGCGCCGTGTGTTCTGGCTCTAGGGGGTGGGTCTTCCCTTTCTCAATTATGACGTACTCGGTTAGGTTGCCATCTAGGTCTCGGTCGGGGGCGACTTCCAAATTATGGTCTCATTCTTCCCTTGATTCACGATCCTTGCAGCTGAATTAATCCCCCATGTGTCGGGACCTGAACCGTGGTGGTGCTCTTCTACAACTTCTTCAACATAGGCTCTTCCACTTCTGGAATTGAAAAAGGAAGCATTTCCAAGCCCGAACAAGATCAAAAGAACTAATCGCTTTCTACAATAAGAAAATAGTTATCTATTAGCCATGTTTTCTTTCTGTGATAATGCCGTAGCATAGGACTCCAGGAATTTTGGAAGCTGAACATGCTCAAAAGATGCCTAAAGCTTTTAGCTTTGATCATTCGACGCCGAGTGAAAGGGTTCCTCGCTAAATAAAACCAAAGTTCCACAATCCCTTACCTACCCCAGCCCATCCCTTCACCCGGATAATGACCACTTAAGCACCTCTGGAAGCGAACAGAAAGAGATGGCAGAGTCC